AGGAGGAGTGGCATCCACTTCCATAATAGCTTGCCTCCGGAAACCCTATGAACCTGGAGAGAGGATGAAAGGCACCCAAGCATCGAGGACTCTCCTTCATAGGGTCACTATGAGTGGCCTGTGACTCGATGGCACTTAACAACAACAACAACAAAATATATAAGACAGATTATCTCTTTCTCTCTCTCTATCTATCTTATGGACTGAAATCTCACTCTTAGTATAATAAGTGAAATATCCCATGGACTGCCAAAAGAACAAACAAGTCTATCTTGGGGAAAGTACAATGAGGGTATTCCTTAGAGGCAAAGATGGTGAAATTTTGTTTCACATACTTTGGGCATGTTGTTAGGAGGGACTAATTCTCGGAAAAGGATACAATGGCTGGGAAAGGTAGAGAGTCAGAGAAAGAGTCTTAAGTTGAATTGACACAGTGACTGTAACAATGGGCTTGAGTATATTAGAGATAACGAGAATAGCACAGAATAGAGTTAGGTTTAGATCTATTGTTCACGAGGTCACGATTGTTCATAGTAGACTCGACAGCATCTAACAACAATATCAATATCAATATCAATATCTATATAAATCTTGAAATCAGAGGTACAAAGACTTGTATACCTGTGTTTACTTTAATAATATTTACAAAAACTAATCATTATGATTATAAAAACCCTGTCAAAAAAAACTCTAATCCAAGAATGACTGATTGTCTCTAACTACTTAACACATGCCATTCCAAACCCTGGTTTTTATAATCAATCAGAGTTCTGACAACAAATTTACTTTATTATTTCACAGGTTCCACAGTGTCTCAACCTTTAGTGCTACCATCACCAGAAAATCTTGTGGAAGATTCATCTAGAGCTTATTGGTCTGTACTTGGTAAGATTGGAATACAGTCCACTACAGGGGAATTACACATAGACTTAAGGAACTGATGGTGATTAAAAGAAATATATTTTTTTTTTAAAGAGACTAATGATGACTCAGTGGTTAAACATTCAACTGCTAATCAAAGGGTCAGACCTACCAGCTGCTCTGTGAGAGAAAGATGTGGTGGTCTTCTTCATAGTGCTTGGACTCCACTGCTTCGCTATACAGTTTTTAAAATCCAAGCCCCCACTGCTATTGAATTGATTCTGACTCATAGTGTTCCTATTGGAGGGAGCAAAAAATCCCCTTCAGGGCTTTAAGGCTATACTTTTTGCAGGAGAAGACTGACTTATCTTTCTCCCATGGAGCTGCTGATAGGTTGAAACTGCTGAGCTTTTGGTTCTAACACGTTCTTACAGTGCCACCTGCCAAGTATCTAGAAGTATCTTAATCTCTTTATATGAGATGATATTTTATATTCATCTAAGAGGTGAGGAAATGAAGCACAGTGGAATATAGTGATTTGTCCAACGTGACAACAAGGAGTGAATCTGAGATGCCATCTGTGTTCATTCCTGACTTTGCCACATCTGTGTAGGGTGATGTTGGGGTATTTATTTCTCAGTTCCTTGATTTTCTCATATATAAAGTGGAAGTAATAATAGTAACTACTCACATTATAGGAAATTCTCAAGATATAGTCCATACAGAATAGCTCTGTTAACCCAAAAGCCTCTCATCTCAAGCAGTTAAAATCTACCAGGGGTTCTGAGGGACAAAAATGGATGTATCTGCTTGTGTGTGACTTACAAGCTTAAGAACTCAAATGGAGAATCTGGTATGAGTTTGTTCTAACTGAACAACAATGAAATGGTATAGATGCAAATTATTGTTATAAAAGTTGAATGTGCTCAAAACAGTATCCGGTACATGGTAAGGATTTAATAAAGGGCTATTTTGGAGCTCCTTTCTTCCTGTCAGGTTCATGATTACCTTTGAGTTCTTTTGCTTCCTCCTGGAATCCCTCCAGGTATGCTGATTTCCGCAACTGTTTGGCTCTTCTACTCTTGGCTGCTTTGGGAAACATAGCTTTGCCTTAGTTCTGGAAGCACAATCTGGCTTGTCTTGCTAATTCTATTACGTGGGTCCAATAATTAAGAGAGAGGAAGATTCAGGTAATATAAGGAAAAAAAATACTGTTGTTATGTGCTGTCAAGTCACTTGTGACTCATATATTTGTTATGTGCTGTCAACTTACCTGCAACTTGTAGCGATCTTGTGCAACAGCTCTTTCTAGAGCTCGGCTCTATCCTGAGCCAACATTATTATCTCTGACAACCCCCACCCCCATTACCCTAGTCACTGAGTCAAGCCATCTCATCTAGGGTCTTCCTCTCTTGCTCTGTCCCTCCACTCTTCCAAGCAGGATCTCCATCTGAAGGACTGGTCCCTTCATGCAACATACACAAAGCACAGCTAAAGTCCTAAACACAGCTTAAAATTATTTACCTTGCTAGCTTTGATTAAATATTTCATATTAATTTTATTACTTTTCAGGAGACATTCTTGGTTCTGCCATGCATAACTTACACAATGTTCTCCGAATGCCTTTTGGTTGTGGAGAGCAGAATATGGCTTTATTGGCTCCCAGTATTTACATTTTGGACTACTTGAGTCAGACTCACCAGCTAACAGAAGAGATAAAATCCAAGGCTATTGGATACCTGACCAAAGGTGATGTATTTAAAAACCTTTATTAAATTTCTGAATCACAGCTCTTTTTTCCTGCTAAATACATTGAATATATTTGTGTTAAGGTGTATACTGACTTAATACTAACATTAACAGTCAATTTACCCAATTTAATTACTGGATATAATTTTTAAATTAAGAAGTAGTTTTATTTCCTTTCTTTTTCTAGGTTATCAAAAGCAACTGTCTTATAAACACCCAGATGGATCGTATAGTTCATTTGGACCAGCAAATCATCAACAAGGAAGCTCACGGTTTGAATTGCTTCATAATCAAGATTCATTTAGTTAGAAGTTTTAAAATGCATTTTGTGAAGTAGCTATTTGATAATTTTATCATAAACTAGTGTGCAAAGAGCGTCGAGGACTCTTCTTCATAGGGTCACTATGAGTTACCTGTGACTCAATGGCACTGAACAACAACAACAGTGTGCAAAGACTGTAAGGAGCTGCACTGCTAATCTCAAATTGGTACCTCTCTGGCATTGGAATCTACCAGCAATCTCCACCCATGTGGTTTATTTACAACCACAGAAACCCAATAAGTCAGTACTAACTCAACAACAATGATAATACAGTTTAAGCTAAACACAATTCAGCCTACACATACTAATTTTTTACTTTCCTGCAGAAGTTGTCAGTCTATAGGGTAAAAGAGTACTTACATAAGAGTAATTCTGGTTAATCATGACTGAGTCACTTAAACCCTCTGGACATCAAGTTATCTGTGAAAATGAGGAACAAATGTCTCCTCTTCGCCCCTAACATAGTTTTCTTATTCTATGAAAATTGTTACTGTCAAGTCAATGCTGATCTGGGGCAACTCAGTGTGTCACAAAGTTTAAATGATACATAGGGAGCTCCACAAGAGCCTACTGGTAAAAAACTGTCCTGCAGTCCCGAAGGTATACAATTCAAATCCACCGGCTGCTTCTCAGGAGAAGGATTGACAGCCTCCTCCAGTGTAATTTATTGCCTCTGATTACCTGCCAGAGAGTCAGTTATGGGTCAGTTCCAACTCGATGGTACTAAAGAACAACAGTCTTAATGAAACAAGATAGTCAGGCCTTTCTTCCAGCACTATGGAAGACTTTCCATCTTTCTAGTACCTGAGTTCAAAGCATATATGCCACCAAGGACTATTTTTCTATTTGTTGTTGTGTACTGTCAAGTCGGAACCAGCCCGTAACTGACTTTCCAGTGGGTTTTCTGAGGCAGTTAATCAAGCACGAGGAAATTTCGCATCTTTCTTCTGTGGAGCAGCTGTGGATTCTAACCACATGCCTTTGGGATTGCAGTGCAGTTTCTTACCACTAGGCCACAGAGTTCCCCTTTTCTATTTATAACATAATTTTTCAATAATCGCCTAGATAGTAAGAAAGGACAAATGTAGGAATTGTATTTGTGGTGAAGAGAAAGGAATCTTCAAAGCCATCATAGACAAAGCAACACATTATCTAACACTTGAGTATTATATTATATATATATATAAAATGAATATTACCTAAGTGGATGGAAGTTGGAAAGGAGTGGGTGATGACACATTGGCTGGGTTGGGGGATGGGATTTTTGGAACAGGAGACTAAAACATCTAATGATAGCAAGGCATATATTCTAAAGCACAGTTTTTCTGCCTATCCACATTTGTACTGTTTTAATTCACTGGGTATTCTTTTTATTCCAGACTCACTGCATTTACTTACAAGTTGTTTGCCCAAAGTAGCCGCTACATTTTTATCGACGACAAAATTCAGTCTGAGACCTTTATTTGGCTTGCAAATCATCAAAATTCAGATGGTTGCTTCCTAAATTCGGGCAATATTTTCAACAATGCCTTGAAGGTACTGGTAATATTCTGTTTTGCAAAGTTCTTTTAACATGTTCATTTAGTGAATCCCAAGGAAATACTACAAATTTTGGTGGCCATCATTGACCTGAGATTTTGAACAGCAAAACTTAATTCTCTTTTAATATGATAAAAGCCTTTCCTTTTTATCATTAACAACATTTTAATTTAATCTGTTAAGCTAAAAATTCCCAACTTTTAGCACAAATGGAAGTAAGAATAATAATAGAACCAGGATAATTACTATGCTTGAATACTTTATCATTTAAGAAATTCTTTGTCAATATGATTTAGTTATTTGTATATGTTAGTATCCCTAGGGTAAGTATTGTTTAATGAATTTGCTTTTTGTATCTGAGTTTTTCTAAGCTTGCATTTTCTTCCTAATTTTAATGGTAATATTTCTTAAAAATAGCTTTAATATAAGGCATAAATCAAAATGTCATTCATATGTCAGCAACTCAGAAATCATCGTTGTGAATATATTGGCATATTATCTTTCCTTCAGTCTTTTTTTCTGTGATATATAAATATGATTTTTTCCATAATTAAGATTATTGTATATTGCTTTCTGGCTTTAAACTTCACATTATAAGAAATTATTTAAGAACATAAATTTAATAATTTTAGAATATTCTGTATGGATAAATTGTACTGTTGTTGAATTTTCTTTTAGTAATGCTGTATATTTAATTTTGCATATAAATATTTGTCCCTAGTTATTTATTTAGAAGATATATCTAGTTATGCAAGTTATTAAGTGTTGGATAATAGTATTATCAAATTGTTTTCCAGTGGTATTATGTCAGTTTTACACATCTATCACGAAAAAGCATATATAGCTGGCTAACACTACTGCTAGCATTGACCATATGAGTATTATGTACTAAAGGGCATTGATGTCAAGCTAGAGAGAAAGGTGCGCCTGATCTGGGCTATGCTCTTTGCAATTGCATGCTATGCATCAGAGAGCTGGGCAGTGATTAGGAATAATAGAAAGAGAATTGATGCCTTTCAGCTGTGGTTCTGGAGAAGAGTGTTGAATATACATACCATGGACTGCTAGGAGAACAAACAGGTTTGTCCTGGAGAGGGTGAAGCTTGGCTGCTTCTTAGGGCAAGGATTCTGAAGCTTTGTCTGACATACTTTGGGCATGTTGCAAGGAGGGATCAGACCTTGGAGAGGGACATTATGTTTGGGAGAGTGGAGGAACAGTGCAAGAGAGGAAGACCTTCGATAAGATGGATTGATTCTGTGATTGGGGCAGTGGGAGTAGGTGTGTCAGAGACAATGAGGTTGGCACAGGATAGAGCAGGGTTTAGGGCCATTGCACATAGGGTCGCTATGAGTTGCAAGTGTTTCAATAGCACATAACAACAAGAACATGTGGTGGTGGTGGTTATCTGCTGTCAAGTGAGAACTGACTCCAAACTGAGCCTCCTGTGGGTTTTCAGAAGTAGTAAATTTCAGAAGAAAAGACTTCTGACTTCTCATCTTTCTCCCGTGTAGCAGTTGGTGAACTTTAACAGCTTGGCTTTAGGCTGGCAGTGCAATTCCTTACCACTAAGTTACCAGAGCTCTCTTCTGGTAAGGAATTGAACCCTAGGGTCTAAATAAGCCCCCACTTATCTCTGTCAAACAATACTGTGTTCCTACTGATTTGTTAACAACATTATTATATTGTTTTCACTCTTCTTAGAATTTCTTTCTGCTCTTAACCGTCCTGTTCCACTTACCTACTTTTTTCTTTTATACTGTATTCTTTTTCTAGTATAGAATGCATTTTCTATGCAAACATTAAAATTCTTTCTAGATTGAGGGTGAGGGTGAGATGGGCAATCTCCTCCCCTGTCATTGACAGCCCGAGTATTCCAAAGGAGGGTTAACTATTAATTGGTTCTGACTCAACAGCAATAGGGGAGGAGGATGCTTAAGCTTTTTGTTTTGGGGTTTGTTTGTTTTTTTTTTTAATTCAACAAAACAAGTAAATAAGGTTTTTTAGGGTAATGCAAATAAGGCATGGTTGGTGAAACGTAGAGACAGGCCTGTGAAAGAGTTAAAGAGGAAAGGAAAAAATAAAGGGGAAAACACCCTTGGTAAGTCAGCGGTAGAGCCAAAGTTTTTAACTCATTACCAACAGAGAAAGAGACAGTGAGTAGGTTTTTGAGAGCACGTTATGCCTCCTCTGATTCTAAATGCCTTCTTAAGCCTATAAATTATTTTAAAAGTGATGCTCTTAACCTTAAAAGATTTTTAATCTTTGGATTTCTATCCTCTATCTTCTGATTTTAAAAACAGCATTTTTGAAGAAATTTTATATAAATAAGCAAATGATTCACTCTTCCCTGCTGAAAAAATAAATGCAGAAAGAAATAAATTGTTGTGCATAAACATATAAATATATAGTGCATAAATAATCAAATGCATCACTCTTCTTGAATTATGTGAGACTGACATGTTGCCCTTCTGTTTTATGTAGGGAGAAGAAAATGATAAAATTTCTCTCACTGCGTATGTTATCAATGCACTCATTGAAGCTGGTCACCCAACCTCGGTATATAGCCCATTAGTGGTATTATTAATCCCTTGTTATGAAAGCAAGATGTTTATATCAAAAATTTATTAATAAGTTCTAAAACTATGCTTGTTCTCATTATGCAATAATAACCTTCTTAATAGTCAGATTACACTTTGCATGTGTTAATGACATAAAAATGAAAATGTATGTGTAGCATTTGCCCTCTGAACATTCCAACACAGATAAGAATCATTCCTGTGTTAGTTTTTCAGGTGAAAAAAAAAGTAAAAAAGCATCTAGGTCCATCTTTGCACAAAGGTACTTGTCTGTACAAATGATGATTGGTTTTTTGTTTTCTTTTCATTCCTTTGCAGTTTTTGGTAATTCAGAAGGGTCTTCAGTGCATAGAAAATGCAATTAGGGAGAGGCGTACTACTACCTATGACCAGGCTCTCCTGGCCTACACCTTCACTTTAGTAGGCAACGAAGCCAAAAGAGAATTTTTTATCAACAAACTAAACCAAAAAGCAATGAAAGTGGGTAAGTGCATAGAAACTGAGCTGGAAACATTGCCCGTCAAGGACGGGTAGAATGATTAGCTATGCTGGATTTCTCCTGCATTTTTCTTTCTTTCATTTTCTTTTTTTTCTTTGATAATCAATATACTATATGTAAAAAAAGAGAGGAAACTGCTATTTCAACACTTTTTACATGTACAATTCAGCGACATTGTGTTCCTTGAATTGATCCTTGTATTGTCTGACCATCCTTACTATTCAATTCCAATTTTTCCTTTTTTCTTTAAACAAAAGAACAGTCTACTTTAGATAAAGTGAAACCAGCTTGCTCCTTAAACGCAAAGGCATTACTTTGGGCATGTTGTCAGAAGGTGCCAGTCTTTGGAAAAAGGCATCATATTGGGAAAAGTGGAGAGGTTAAAGAAAGAGAGAGATTTTCAACCACATAGTTTAACACAGTGACTGTAACAAGAGGCTTAAGCGTGTTCAAGAATCCTGAGGATGGTGTAGAATAGGGCAAAGTGCGAGGGTCACTGACATAACTAGGCAATGACCCTTACTCCTGCCCACCCCTGAACAAACTTTGATTTTTATGTATTTGCCTACTCTAGATATTCCTTGCCCTTTGGAGACTGGTTTATTTCTTTTGGCATAATATTTTCAAGGTTTATCCATCCACCATGCATGAAGATTTCACTTCTCTTTATAGCTAAGAAATGTTTTCTTATCTTTCAGTGGTGGTGTTTTAAACTCCTCAATTATGCCAAATCTGACACAGACACTCCTGAATCCCTTATATTTTGTTGTTGTTGTTAGGTGGCTCGATGTATTGGAAACCAGAAAAACAGCACTCTATGGCAGGAGCATCCTCCTTCTACCCTCTAGCTTCCTCTGCAGACATAGAAACCACTGCTTATGTCCTGTTAGCCATTCTCGCTAACCCACAGCTGACCTCAGAAGAGCTGTCCCAGGCTTCTCAGATTGTGCAGTGGATGGCAAAGCAGCAAAATTCCCTTGGAGGTTTTTCTTCCACAAAGGTAAATTATTTTTTCCTAAGTAGAAGAAAATGGAGCAATTGCTTTTTACTGGTGTTACTTATCTCTAAATTTATATATTAAATATATCTATTTAAATGAGCTTGTCATATTATAAAACATATTATTTTTCAGAAAAATTGGTCATGGGTTTTTTGAAGAGTATATTATTTTATCTAGTAATATTTTTAAAGTGTTCTTTAAAAGTTAATTTTGTTTCACTTTTTAAAATGGAAGTTTAAAAAGAATCTAAAAAATTGAGAGGATATTTAGTATTAAAAATTATGATAAATATTGGTAAATGTAGTTGTATGAATTAGCAGTATCATTGGTGGTGTGTGATCACTCTTTACAGTAAGATGAAAACTCCTAAATCTACTTCTATGAAAGTGATTCCAACTCATAGCAATTCTATTCTTATAACTCATTGCCTTTGACTTATTGCCTTTGAGATGACCCTCCAATGGGTTTTCTGAGACTGTAAGTCACATGGGAAGAGATGGCTCATTTTTCTCCCACAGTGCTGCTGGTACATCCAGACAAGCAGAGAGGCATGGTTTTTGTGTTAACAACACAACTCCCTGTGGAGACTACGTAATCCTGCAAGGCAGAATGAAATCATTCCTTGGGATTTCCACAGTTATAATTCTGTACAGAAGCAGACTGCTACATCTTTCTACCGCAGTATGACTGGGTTTTTCAAACTGCCAACTTTTTCATTAGCAACCAAATACTTAATATCTGTGCCACCAGGACTACTTTATGCAGTTTCAAAATCATTGTAAAAGTCTGAGTGATGATGCAATCTTATTGTTGTTATATGCCATTGAGTCACCTAAAACTGATAGCAACGCTACTTACAACAGCTCTGAAGAGATAGATGATAGGTAGGTAGATAGATAGATAGATAGATAGATAGATAGATAGATAGATAGATAGATAGATCTTGTTCTGGTAGCCTAGTGTTAAGACACTGCACTGCAATTTCAAAGCCATGTGGTTCAAGGCTACAAGCTGCTCCACGGGAGAAGGATGGGCAATCTCTTTATGTATAATTAACTGCCTCTGAAAACCCGCTGGAGGCTTAGCTATGGGTTGATTCCAATTCAACAGTACACAGAAAAAGTAACTATACATACATACATACATGCATACATACATACATATATATAAAACACAGCAGCTATGTGTAAAAAAACAAATCTCCACTTTTTTACTTAGGTAGATTATGCTTTCATTTACAAAAAGTCTTATTTCATGCAAAATCATATCATTTGCATATTTCCCAAGGGAAGTATTAATATTTCTCTGGATTTCTTATAAAACTTCAGAATATAGTAGAAATGTTTCACATGCAATATATTCTGCACACTTTTCCTTTTCTTCATTTTTATTATGCTTTAAATATAGATTATTTTCTTTTCACTTTAATTTAGTGTAATCACTTTCTTTTCATTTTCCTTCTTTAATATCATGCTACAAGGTCTCAACACAAAAACTACCATTATATATATATAATATGATATATGATATGTGCTCTCAAATTAGGACTGACTCATAGTGGACTTTCTAGTGGGTTTTCAAGAGGCTGTAAATCACAGAGAAGGGGGAGATTGCCCATCTTTCTCTGTCAGAGCTGCTGGTGGATTCCAACATCTGCCTTTGGGTTGGCAGTACTATTCCTTACCAATATAGGCCACCAGATAGATTTCCTGTAGAATTATGGATTAATTTATTACTTGTAATTATTAATGAACCTGTGGTATAATTTAGTTTTGTCTTGAGAGCAGAAATGGTACATGGAGGCACAGGGCCATGAGAGTCTCTTTGAAAGGGCCAGAGGGAGTGAGAATAGCCCCTCACTGCCCCAGAACAGAGAGCAGGTAAAGAGTCCATAGCCCAGCCCCATGGTCCTCTAGAGCCACACCAGCAGCAAAAGGTTTGATATTTATTCTTAACTTACAGACTTTACTTACCAGTGGGTTTATTAGGGAAGTAAATTGGAAAGTAGGGGAGACAAATAATATCACCCAGTGTGAGTCCAGGTTTTACCCTAACAATTTCAAGGCATATTTTCTTAAATAGTCCGGGCTTCAGTTTCAATACAGCAAGTAGTTGTCCCTTCCACCATTTGGCATAACAGCAAAACCTTTAACTGTGGCCTTTATCTCAGAGCTCCTCTGATTACATCTTGCCACAGTTTATATCCACAACAATTCCTCAGTCTCTCCACCAGCATCATCAAGATCTTGCCACCAAGGTCTCACTCTCACCAAGGTCTTGCTCCAGTCTCCCTCAAGTCTTGCTTCTCAATGTGGGAAGCGCTCATTCTTTTATCCTAATCCTACAGCTATAGATGGTTTGAAAGAGCATGTGTCTTCCATTAAGGCAGCTGGAGACAAGACGGGACTAAGGTAATGGCTAAAAAAGCCAACTTTAATCTAACAATGCAGGTTGGCTAACCAGTTGTCCCAATGTTATTTAGTTAATAATTAATGCCACAAAGTATTTGAAATATTGGCTTATTATGTAATAAAAAACTCTAAAACTCATTGTTATCTAGTAAAAACTGACTCATAGCTGACCCTTCAGTGGCTTTTCTGAGGCTGTAAATTGCATGGGAGTTTGCCCATCTTTCTGCCAAGGAGCCACTGGTGGATTTGCACTGCCAGAGAGACATCACACCACCTACATATATTTATTAGTACTGCAACTTTCTGTAGTCTATGCCACTAGAACTACCCTATCACATAATAAAGTAATGTACATTTTTATGTCCTTTTAGGCTTTCTATTCTTTTCCAGTGACTTTTTGGCTTTATTACATGTTTTAACACCTGATAAAATAGATAAAATATCATTAAACAATTTTAAAACATCCTTGGCTCTTATCACATTTTTATTGTATTAAATTATGATTCATTTTGTCTGAACTAAAGATTATTTTTAAAACATAAATATTATCACTAACTCTATTTAGTTACAATTAATTATACAATGCCCAAGACAAATAATTCACACATACACAACAATAGAATGGTTATTATTTAAATGAGTCATAATTATATTTAGTGTAAAGATTTTTAAAGCCCATAGTATATACTAACACAATTTGAAACATTTCTTATAGGATACTATTGTGGCTCTCCAAGCACTGTCTCTATTCCAAAAGCTTACTTTCTCTAAAAATAGACAAAATTCAGTGATGATCTACTCTGACCGAGTATTCTACATGGGTTTCCACGTGAACGACAAGAACTTTTTGGAGCTACAAAAAATTCAGTTGCCAACAACTAACAAGAACTATATGGTGGAAGTGAATGGGATTGGCTGTGTATATGTACAGGTAGTAGATACAGGATTTTTATTTTCTAATATCTGAAAAGTTTCAAGTATACATAAAATTTCAATAATATAACAAACACCTAGATTCAACAGCTGTTAAGATTTTGCAATATTTGTCTGGCTTTTTTATTTTAATATAAATGAAATACATTTTGATACATTTAAGGATATAATAGTGTATCTCAAAAAAAACTAAAGGTATTCAATTAAATAATTGCAATGCCTTTATCACAACTAACAAAATTTACCAATAATTTATAATATAATTTAATGGTCAATTTTTGTCCCACAATTAATATAATTGTCTCTTTTTTCCCTTAAAACCAAAATTCTATGATTATTTATTACAATCTATTATTATGCTTAAGTCTTTTTTTGCTTAACATTTTTTTAATCTAATAATCAATTTTGAAAATAATGCTTTGAAACTATGTAAAAATCTATTTCTGCATTAGTTTTCAGTTAAAAGTTATAAAATGCACTGATGATCTTTGCCCGAGACAACTACTTAATTAAGGACTGCATAGTACAGACTTTTACATCCTTTCCTATCTCTTACTTTTATTAGCTGATATTCTTGAGCAAAGCAGAATCCCTCTGTTAGCATCTGAGAATATTAAATTGCCTTTCTAAAAGAGTAAAACAAGCAGTTTCCCCCCCCTAATTTTCAGACAATAATAATCAGTGTGATAATCACCTCCACAGATAGCAAATGAGTTTTGTGTTTACTTAGGACTTTTTCCTTTTGGAGTATTATGAAATGTTGACTATTAAATTAAAAAATTATTTGTTGGGTTTTTTTGGATGTTTTATTTATACTCTATTTTATCTAAATCCCTTCAGACTGTCTCCTATAATCTCTCTTCATCACTTTATTAGTCTATGAATGTTTTCTAGGTTATTTTGTTTTGATTGGATGAGCTAATTTTATTTTGTTCTTTCTCTTCCTCAGCTATTTTCGCTAAAGATTGTTGATATTTTCAATAGACTATCACATTGTTTAAATATTTTTATTGGTTTTCATATAATAATTCCTTTACACTTTGTTTCATTCATATACATTGTGTTTTATATAATCTTTAATTTACATTTTGTTTCACATAATCATATACACTCTGTTTTACGTTATTTTTTAAAATTCATTTGCTTACAAAGTTTATGTACATTGTGTTTCATACAATCATTTTTATATATTATATTTTATGAAATCAGTCACCATTAGACCTTGCCCATCATTACCCTGTGTTTTCACCTGTATCTTTCCCAGTTGCTCCTCCCTCCCTCCACCCACCGAACTGTGCAGCTCTGTGGTTTCACCTCAACTTATCCTCACCTGTTCACTCAACCCTTCTTTCTCCTTGAGTTTCTGTATATGTTTTACTAGTTATCCTTCTATTTTTACAATAATGGTATTATACAATATTTGTCCTTGTGAGACTGTGTTAGTTCACTCAGCATTGTTGTTGTTGCTGTTGATGTTGTTAGGTGCTATCAAGTTGAGCATGACTCAGTGACCCTATTAACAAAAGATCTGAATTCTGTCCTATTTTGCACCATCCTCACACTTCCTGACACACAAGAGTCCATTGTAGTAGTTACCATATCAGTTCACCTAGTTGAGGGTTTTCATCTCCTTTGCTGACCCTCTACCCTTCCCAGAATCATGTCCTTCTCTAAGGAATATCCCCTCCTAGCAACATGTCCAAAGTTTATCAGGTAAAGTCTCATCATTCTTGCCTCCAAAGAGCATCCCAACTGCACCCTCTCCAAAATATATCTGTTTGTTCTCTTGGCCGTCTGATGGGATGCTCATTGCTCTTCTCCAACAAAGCTCAAAGAAATCAGTTCTTTTTCTGTTATCCTTATTCATTGTCCAGCTGTCAGATGCATAGCTAGTAATCAGAAATACTGTGGCCTGAATCAGATGTATCTTAGTCTTTAAACTGACATCACTACTCCTCAATAACTTAAAAAGGTCCCTAACTGCAGATTTTCCCAGTGCAATGTGTCTTATTTCCTGACTGTTAGTACCAAGGGTGTTAAATATGGAGCCAAGTAAGATGAAGCTGTTGACAGTTTCAATCTCATCTCCATCCATCATGATGCTGTCTATTAGTCCAGTTGTGAGAATCTTTGTTTTATTGATATTGAGATTCAATCCATACTGAAGGCTGCATTCCTTGATTTTCTGCAACAAGTGCTTCAAGTCTTCTTTACTTTCAATAAACAAGTTTATATCACCAAGCCAAAGGTGGGTGACTTTTAATCCACGGCCCTTGGGCCTATCTTTCATTGTTTTTGTTCAGACATTTCTCTAGGTCGTATAGCCCTGGTATACAAGTTGCCATACAGTGGTCACTTGTGGTTGCTGTGAGGCTGAACACCGTGACACTGATGTGTCAAACGTTAATGGTTGGTTACCCAGTGCAGACAGAGACTGGAGAGGAGCTCCCCAATTAAAACAAGCTTGGAAGGAGGAGTGGCATCCACTTCCATAATAGGTTGCCTCTGGAAACCCTATGAACCTGGAGAGAGGATGAATAGCACCCAAGCATTGAGGACTTGCCTTCATAGGGTGGCTATGAGTTGCCTGTGACTCGATGGCACTTAACAACAACAACAACAACATCATCTGCATAACAAAGGTTATCGATGAATCTCCCTCCAATCCTGATGTCACACTCCTCCTCACAGAGTCCTGTTTCTCAGATAATTTGCTGAGCATACAGATTGAATAGGTATGGAGAGAAAATACAACCTTGGCACACTCCCTTCCAAATTCAAAACCATGCAGTGCTCTCCTACTTTGTTCTCACAACAGCCTCCTGGTCCAGGTATACGTTCTGCATGAGCACAATCAAGTGCTCTGGAATTCCTCTTCTTCTCAATGTCAGCCACAAGTTGTCATGATCCACACAAATGCCTTTGTGTAGTGAATAAAATACATATAGATATTCTTCTGGTATTTTTTACTTTCAGCTAGGATCCATCTGGCATCCGCAATGATATCCCCAGAATCATGACCTCTTCTTAATCCTCCTTGAACTTGTGGCAGTTTCTTGTCTATGTACTGTTCCAGATGTTTTTTAATGATCTTCAGCAGTATTTTAGTTGCATGTAATATCAATGATATTGTTTGAAAATATCCACATTCAGTTGGATCACCGTTCTTGGGAATGGGAACATATGGACAATCCATTGTCCAGATAGCCATCCACCAACTTTCCTGGCATAGACTGGTGAGAACATCCAAGGCTGTGTCTGTTAATTGAAACATGTCACTTGGTATTCCATTGATTCCTGGGGCATTATTTCTTGCCAATGTCTTCAATGGTGCTTCTTCTTCATCCTTTATTACCATTGGTTTCTGTTCATATGGAACTTTCTGAATTTTTTTAGTGTCAATCAAATTCTTTCTGGTACAGTGACTCATTGAGAGTAGCTCAATATCAGCAGTCAAAACTAGGCCAGGGGCAGACTGTGAGTCTGATCATCAATTATTCATATACAAGTTCAAATTGAGGCTGACAAAAATGAAAATAAGTCCACAGAAACCAAAATATAATCTTGAATCAATTCCATCTGAATTTCATTATCATCTTAAGAATAGATTAGAGGCTTTGAACACCAATGATAGAAGACTGGATGAGTTGTGGGACAAAGGATATCATCCATGAAGAAAGCAAAACTTCATTACAAAAACAGTAGAGAAAGAAAATAACTGAAATGTATGTAAAAATTGACTCTAAAGATTGCTCTGGACCATCAAGAAGCTAAACCTAAAGAAAAGCATGTTGAAGTGAAAAAGCTGAAAAGATGATCTCAAAGGGCAGCTCTGGAGGACAAAGCAAAGTATTATAATGGAATGTACAGAGAGCTGGAATTGAAGAATAAAAAGGGAAGAACCTACTCTGCATTTCTCAAGCTCAAAGAACTGAAAAACAAATTTAGGCCTCATGTTGCAATATTGACAGATGGTATGGGCAATTTATTAAATGACCCAGAAAGAATCAAAAGAAGATGGAGGGAACACACAGAGTCAGTCAGCATAGACATTGGCATTTTAACTTAAGACTATTGCCAGTGGTCCTTACTGCTGTGGTAATGCTTTTGCATTGAGGCTTTTGTAATGTAGAGAACTAGAAAACAAAGTTTTTAAAATTGTGAGTCCCTCTCACTGTTTTTACTTACAATTAATACTAAGCAGTAATGTGTTCTTGTATTAACAGGTCTTCCTGAATGCATATGAGTAGTGTCTTATCACAACATTGTATGTCAGGATAGATCTGGAAATGCTCTTTTTGGCTCTGAATCTAACACCATTTCTCTTCAACATGTCATTCCTGGCACAAAAGGTCATATGCTATCTGATTCAAAGTCATCAGTACCAATCCTTCTTATCTTGTTAATGTCCAGAATGTTGAACTTTACATGTTCCATCTCATTTTTTACAACTTTTTTTTTATGTTTATACTTTGTACATTCCATGTTCCAATTGATTACATATTTGCAACGATTTCTCAATTTTTAAACATCTTCCAACTCAAGAGACTAATCTTTCAGCACCATATTCAACAATTTTCCTTTGTTATTCACAGAGTTCTGAAAGCATGTTATTTCCAAAGGAGGTGATCAATCCTGCATCTTAGTTTATGTTAGTCGGGAGGCTGTGCTAAAACCTATCTATTGTGGGTGATCCTGCTGGTATTCAAAATACCAATGATATATTCCAGCATCACAGCAACATTCTATTCATCACAGAACAGCAAACTGATAAATAAATGGCCTAATCATAAAAACAAACTATAAACAAAAAAGCAATAGGAATTTCATAAAACAGACATGCATGCTACACGAAATAGAAAACAACCTGTGTGGTCTGGGATGGTGTATTTGTTAGTCTAGCAGAAGACGAGAACTGGTTGAAGATTGGATTGCAGAAGATTATAATTGATCCAATCTGGTCAAAATTTTGCTCATCTGAGTGGCTACTCAGGCCTCAAGACTTAAATGTGTCCAGAGGTGAGGCAGGCAGGGTAGAATTTCTGCTGGCCTCAGAAGAACCTAGGCTAGCCAGCCTGGCTAGAAATGGTGTCTTTGCCAGTCAAAGGGATAGATGCAGGCAGGGTCCAGTCAGAGGTGTCTAGAATAAAGACAATCTGTGCTGATCTGTGATGCCCATGGAATGAACCTCTCTGGAAAGGGTGCACTGATAACATCCTTCAAACTACAGAGGGCATTGCCAAAAACCAGGTCAGGAAATCAAAAGATGTGTTGCAATGTGAAAATTTGCTGTCAAGGACCTCTTTCAAATGATAAAGAAAAGGATATCAGCTTAAAGGGTAAGTGACCCAAGTCATGATATTTTCAAATTCTTCCTTTGCATTCTAAAGTTGAATATTAAATAAAAAAATAGCAGAATTGAAGCTCTTGAAGTGTGGTATTGGAGAAGAGTAATGTATAGCCTGTGAACTGTCAAAAGACCAAACAAATCTGTCTGGGACAAAGTACAACCAGTCTGCTCCTTAGAGGCAAAGATAGTGAAACTGAGCATACTTAATCTAAAACTTTTGTAAGGTATAAGTATGGTGGTGTATATATTATGATACAATGTATGTATATATTTACCAGAATACCTGCTATTTAAATAGAACTCAATAAATGAAAACTAAAGAGAGATGCACTAAACAACAACAACAACAACAACAAAACACTAAAACTTCACCTAGAGGCCAGTTTGTTGCGTGTTTTGGGCTTTTTTGCTGTTGGTGTTTATTTTTTTTTTTAAAAAAGGACATCATACTGTGAAAGGTAGAGGCTCAACAAAAGAAAGGACAACTCTTATCGAGATAGATTGACACAATGAGTGTCTTTTTAAGTGTAACAATGAGTGTAACAATGGACATGAACATGCTACGGATAATGAGGGTAGAGCAGGACAGGGTTCTATGCTATGCTGTTGTTTACAGAGTCACTAAATCATCATGATTCTATGGCAATTAATTAGAGTAATAAGTCTTTACATATTTGATTATGAAATTTTAACTGTTTCCTAAAATAATGTTTTTTTTCTTTAATACCAATGGTATACTCTATTAACATTGGCGTTTTTATTAATCCTAAAATTAAAGGAAATAGTTTTTAAATAGCAAAACACTAGTTACTACATAAAAGCACTTAAAAGCAAGTATTCAATATATGCAAGTAAATAAAACTAGTGGACTTTTAGCCTTATTAAAATCCTTTGTTCACTTTTTGAGAATGCGTATCACAAATCACAGGTAGTCAAAATTTCTCACTTTTTCCTTTATAAGATTATGCCACTTATTTGACAATTTCATAAATTTAATTTTTCTTCAAGTTTGTTTGTATTTTTACTTATATTGAATTAATTTTACTGTATTTGTGTACATAGTTTAAGGTTAAAACTACCAAAAGCTGCATTCAGACAAGTCTCACATCCATCACAATAGCATAAGCTGATTCCCACTGTTTTCCACCCTTTATAAACCAACATTTTTTGGTTTTCCTTCTACTGCTTTTGATTTGTTTTTCCTGTAAACTCATATGAATATTGTATTCTTCTTTTCCATCCATGCATAGACTTAATATTCTCTAGAAGTTTCTAGAATACATCTTTCACACTGTGCAAAAATATTCTACACAGAATCTTTACAACAAATTAAATAATGGTATTTTAGTCATTTCCCTTTTCTTGCTATTACTTATAGATCTATAATGTATAACACTGTGTGCATATTTTTTTACATTTGAACTGCTATACCTCCAGAGTGGAACTATTAAACCATATCTTTAACTTCAAGAATTCCCAAGTTGTATTGTTTTGCATTCTTCAACTTTCCTATTAGTTCATTGATTGTAATTCTAGTGCTCATGTTGATTCTTGTAGTTCTCATATTATTTGTTGTAATTGTATCAGTTTCTTAAGATAGAAATCAGGTGATTTATTCTCCAAGATTGTTGTTGTTTTCATTGCTATGTGCTCTCAATTTGAATACAATTCATAGGAACCTTATGAACATCAGCTCTGAACTTTTCACTATCCTGAGCCAACCTCATCTCTGACACACCTGTCACTATTGCCACAGTCTCTGTGTCAATCATCTTATCTAGGACCTTCCTTTCCTGTGCCGACCCTCTACTCTTCCAAACATGATGCCCTTCACCAAGGACTGGCCCCTCCTAGCAACATGCTCAAAATATGTAAGATGGAGCTTCAAAATCTTTGCTTCAAAGAAGCAAACTAGTTTAACTCTCTCCAAGACAGAACAGTTTGTTTTCTTGGAAGACCATGCTGGAGTCAACACTCTTCTCCAATACCACAACTCAAAGGTATCAATACTTCTTCTGATATACTGACTCATTGTTCAGATCTCAGATGCATAGCAAGAAATTGAGAAGATCATAGCCTGAGTCAGGTACACCTTAGTCTCTAGAATGACATTGCTGATCTTTAGTACTCTGGAGAAGTCCTTGACAACAAATTTCCCCAATATAATTTGTCTTTTGATTTCCTTACTGCTTGTGCGAAGGGTATTTGCTGACTGGGGATCTGTGCAAGATGAAATAATTAACAATCTCAATCTTTTCTCCATCTATAATGATACTGCCTATTGACCACTAGTGAGGATTTTCGTTTTCTTGATGTTGAGATGCAATTCACATTATGTAATACTTGATCTTCTGCACAAATGTTTCAAGTCCTCAGTTTTGGTGAGCAAAGTTGTATCATCTGCATAACATGGATTGTTGATAAGTTTTCCTTTAATCCTGATGCCAGATTCTTCTTCATATAGTCCAGCTTCTCAAATAATTTGTTCAGCATGCAGAATTGATGTGCAGAAAGAGTACAATCCTGATGCACACATTTCCTGATTTTAAATCATGTAGAAAATAAAGATTACCACTGGCCTGCTGGGCAATGCCTTGATGAATAGAGAGGAGAATGAGACTTTCAACAGCTTCATCTTGCTTGGATCTACAATTAACACCTGTGGTACCAGCAGTTAGGAAATTAGGAGATACATTGCACTGGGAAAATGTGCAGTTAAGGACCTCTCCAAATTATTGAGAAATAATGTTGTCAGTTTAAGGACTAAGGTGTGTCTGATTCAGGCCTTAGTCTTTCTGATCACTTGCTATGCATCTGATAGCTTGACAATGACTAAAGATGAGAGAAAAAGAATTGATGCCTTTAAGCTGTGGTGTTGGAAAAGAGCACTGAACATCCCATTGGATGGCCAAGAGAACAAACAGATATGTCTTGGAAAGAGTGCAGCCAGAGAGGTCTTTGGAGACAAGAATGATGAAGCTTCACCTGACATACTATGGACATGCTGCTAGGAGGGCTATTCCTTGGAGAGGGACATGATGCTTGAAAGGGTGGAGCATCAGTGAAGTAGAAGAAGACCCTCAACCAAATGGATAGGCAGTGACTGTGACAATGGACTCTTGTGGTTTGGGAAATGGATGAGGATGGCAAAGAATAGAATAGCACTCAGATCTTTTGTTCATAAGGTCACTATCAGTTGTACTTGACTTAACAGCAGCTAACAACAGTGAACTCTTGCTGTATTTGGGCAACTTCTTTTTGGTCTTTGTGTAGGTTTTGCATGAGCACAAGTGAGTGTGCTGGCTTTCCCATTCTTCTCAATGCTAACAATAATTTGTTATAATTCACACAATTAAATGTATTAAATGGATAGTCACTAGAACAAAAGTACATAACTTTCTGGTATTTTCAGCTAAGATCCATCTGTCCTCAACAATGATATTCCTACTGCCACAGATTCATCTAACTCCAGCTTGTATTTCTGGCAGTTCTCTGTCAATGTACTGTCCTAGTTGTGTTTTTATAATCTTTAGTAAGATTTTGCTTACATGTTGTATTAGTGATATAATCATAATTTCCACATTCTTTTGGGTTACCTTTTGGGGAATAGGAATAAATATTAATCTTTCCTAGTCAGTTGGCTGGATAGCTGTCCTCCAGATTTATTGACACAACCTGATGAGCACATCCAAGGTTACCTCAGTTTGTTGAAATACGTAAGTTGGTTTTCCATTAAATCCTGGGACCTTATTTTCGGCCAATTACTTCAAAGCAGCCTGAACTTCCTCCTTATTACCACTGGCTCTAGATTATATACTACTTTCTAAAATGCTTCTGTGTCAATTAATTCTTTTTGGTATGGTGACTGTATCTTCCTTCCTTCTTCTTTTGATGCTTCCTGGATCATTCAATATTTTGTCCATAGTATTTTTAAGTATTGCAACTGAGGCTTGAATTTGTTCTTCAATTCCTTTAGCTTGAGAAATACCAAACAAGTGCTTTTCTTTCGTTTTTCTGACTCCAGCTCTTGGAACACTTTATTAAAATACTTTGCTTTACCTTCATGAGCTGTTCTTTGAGCTGTCCTTGGAAACCTTCAGTTCAACTCTTTAACTTCCTGACTTCCTCCCTTTGTTTTGGCTTCTTGGCATTCTAGTAAAAAATTCAGGGTTCCTTCTGATATCTTCCCCCCCCAATCCTCTATCTTTGTAACAATCTTTTGCTTTCTTTGTGGTTGATATGCTTGATTTCCCATAACTAATGTGGTCTTCACTCATTAGAGTTTAAGGTAGAATGTTTATTCTTTGCTACTTAATATCTGTGTAAATTCTGGAAAGTTATTTTACTTTGACAAGTTACTTGCATTTTAAAATCTAGATTTCTTCTTCTATAAAATGGTGCCTAAATGTAACATCTGTTTAACGGAGTTGCTGAAAAGATTTTTAAAATAATTGTATGAAAAGCATTAAAAAGATGCACTCATTATGTGGTAGTTGTAAACTGTATTGCTATTTTTGTATAAAAATATGAAGCTCTAATATAATTTTTTAAAATTTAAATAGAAATGTTAATATTAAGGTAATACATCTTAAAATAATCCTTTGGTTAATATAGAATATATTCCTTATTTATTCTAGGCAACTCTGAAATATAACATTCTGCTTCCCAAGAAGTCATCTGGGTTTTTCCTTTCTGTGTACACAGCCAATGCTGTCTGCAATGGACCATTTGATAAAAAGTTTGACCTTGTTGTTTCAGCCCGGTAATAACTTTTTCTTCATTGGTAAATTCAGACACCTCTCTACTTCTTCTGTAGGTACTGTACAATCTTATCTCTCTCTGCTTCCAAGAGAAGGCTTGTCTCAATCACTTTATGTAAGCAGTTGAACCTGATTTCATGTTGTGAGTTAGATCTGAATCATAGCTGACCCTCCAGTGGGTTTTCAGACACTGTAAATTGCGTGGCAGGAGATTACCCATCTTTTCCCCATGGAGCACTTGGTGGATTTGAACTGCCTGCCTTAAGGTTGGCAACACAACTTCTTACTACTAAGTTACCAGAGCTCCCTGTCTTGAGTCCCTAGGAGAGTATATTTAATCTCATTTACATTGTTTACTGAAAAATTATCTATTATAACTACTACCTGTTGCTCTTGAGTTAACTAACTCATAGTGTGCCAGAACAGATGCATGTTCCATAGGGTTTTCAATAGCTGAATTTTTAGAAATAAATCACCAAATCTTCCTTCTAAAGTGGACATTAAGGTAGAGTAAGGGGGGTAGAGTGGTAGAGAATGTGGCTTGAAAAATATGCAATAGGAGAGAAAAAAATGGAAGAAAAAAATGTATAAATTCCTGATTATGAGATAGCTTTTCCTAAATTTCCATTTTTTTTGTAAATCAAAATAGTGCATTTCCTTCATTCTGCAATCCAAAGTTCCAAAACAAAAGTATCAGCTAGGGTCAATTTTCTGGGTCTCCTCAGGAATAGCTTAAAATTTATGTTGCTTCACAGTGAAAGATCATTAATTCAGTTTATTACAAAACCATTCTAGTCTCAGAATAATTAACAGCACAAAAGTTATGGTGAAATAGACTTGAATTAATAACTAATACAACTGAATTTTATCAATTTGAAGCCAAAAAAATTTATGGTTTAGCCACATTCAACAACGCCAACATATCACCAAACTGTCTAATTAATAATATTAATTATAATAATTAGTAATTCTATTTGTTCCCATTCCAAAGAAAGGTGACCCAACTGAGTGTGGAAACTACAGAACAGTGTCATTGATTTCACATGCAAGCAAGATTCTACTGAAGATC